TTGTATATCTTCATTGATTATGGAGAACATGCTGTATAAAAATGGACATTGATTTCGGAATTGATATGTATTTCCTTTAGAATATATATTTTTTTCAAATTTCTCGACTGCTTCACTTTCATGTGAAAAATGCCCAACATTTTTCATTATGGACTACCAAACGTCAGTCATAGTTTTGAATCTACGCCTTTAAAGATGTGACATCAACAAGAAATGCGTCAGTGGGTGAGGAAGCTTGACCTATTTTACTCCCCCCCCCCCCCCCCAACGCGCCTTCTTCCCCCTCTGCACGCTATGAGATCGATGACTAGAGAAGGGAAGGCGTAGGGCCACGAGGGGAAAGTATCGCTTACGGACGTATACGAGAAGGGGAAAGGGATGTCATAGAAAGAGGGGAGGACGAGGAATCAAGCACAGGCGATCATGCGTTCCTGACTCAGCTTTGTTGAGTCTGACGCCTCGAATGATGTGTCAGCAACGCGCAATTGGCGATTGGACAACACCGTATCCCTGTATATATACACAGTTTCGGATGTATACTTTGGATCCTAATCTTTGGTTTAACTGATTTATGCACTTAGCAAAGCCAGAAAGAAGAAGAAAGATTTTAGGTCATGGCACGAGACTACACATGACAAGCCAGGGACACAGACCAGCGCGACATAGATCGTGCATAGCTGAAAGGGCTATGGCGTCGTAGAGGACGACACGCCAGCTGAGATTTGTTGATTCAGGATGAGAAGAGGGACGTGCTATGAACTAATCAATACTCATGCATACCAGGCAATACATATCAAATTTTCCTCTTGGCATTAGGGCTGAGTAGACTCCCATACATCGCGTGGCACATCAAGCCAGGGCCTTTTATGTTATTAGATAGAGAAGGCATGTGTAAGACGCTTATTCATTTATGGCATTCATATAACATGGATTTCCAGTGCGAGGCCGCCCATACACATTACAGTCGCACGCATGGATCTTTGCCCAGAGTAAGTAAAGGAATTCAGAGGATCGGGAAAATTTTTGATCTTTGTTGTCCTGAAAATAATTAGCAATTAATTTATCACTCTTGTTTATTTTGTGAAAGTGGATAAACAGCGTGCCAATTTGGTCGTACCTCAGAGTTCAATAGCACTGGTTGCTTGTACAGAGTGGACATCCCGTCATAACCTGTGCAACACACAGACACATACAACTTTGGCATGCAATAATCATTGAGCTATCTTTCGCTCGTCTTGAACTTGTCATCGCAGTTTTGACAATATATCTAATCTCAATTCTTAAGGGCGATTTTTTTCTTTAAATCGATCAATGTATTTACATGTATAAACACGTCTTTACGCACACACCAACCCACACACACGCACACGCACACACACACGCACACACACACACACACACACACACACACACACACACACGCACGCACGCACGCACGCACGCACACACGCACGCACGCACACGCGCACGTACACGCACACGTGTCCAGAATGTCCGGATTATATATCGTAAATGATAGTCACATCTTTCACCCGCTGTGCTTCTTTTTAAACATTTCCTTAATTCCGTTCGTAAGATTTTAGTTAACAGGTAAACATATAATCAACAATTATAGAAAATATATTTCGTCATATATTATCTCTTCATTGGCGTACAAAAATCTCTCATGGTTTTCCGTCTTTTGCAATGTTCTGCCACTGATTTCATGTATGCATTTAAGAGTGATATAGACATACAGAAATTGAAACAGTGAGACAGACGAACAAGCAGACAGACAGAAAGACAGACAGTCTAACAGTAACATAGGCAGAGAGACAGACAGACCTGCACACACACACGCACGCACGCACGCACGCACGCACGCACACACACACACACGCACACACACACACACATTTATCCATGTACATATGCATACGTATATATGAATAATGATTTACATCTATGACTCATGACCAATAAACCATACTGATCCGAAAATTTTAGGCCGCTGTTGTTTTATTTGCTTTCTTCCTTTTGATACATACAATATACGTTTAGCCTGAAAGCTGGTGGTCGGTCGATGTACGAGGGTCCAGCTCCAGAAGCATAATTCGTTTCCATTCCGTTGCTTACAGTGCAGATGCAATATGAACTGCGTTAAAGTGGCATTAGAAAAAACTATGAGAAAAAAAACATGCACACTCTCCTGGACTTGTGTTTTGGGCGAGCACCAGGGAACGCGGATGAGTGGTGAGGGTAGGCGCGGGCGTGAGGTGGGGGGGTGAAGTTTTATTGTGGGCGGGGTAGCTGGCGGTCGGTGGCTTCGAGAAGCCCGGCTGGCGTCGTGCCAAAACCTATTACTAGACTGCATTTCCAAGATCAATCACTTGCAGCTTGGTGTGAATACCACAAGATGTGAGTGTTATTGTTCAGTGTCTGATTTGTTGCGGTGGGTCAGTAAGTAAGACTGCTGAAAATGAATAAAGCGGAAAATAAATCGCAGTAGCCTCAGGGGTTA